TTTTTGCCACTGTCCTGGCAAAAAACCCCTTTTTGCCGGCAAAAACTCCAACCCTGATTAAGACTGCTAAAATTTTTTTTTAACTGAGTTATAATTTTTTAAAGCATGTGACATTTGTAAATGGTTGAATTATCCAAAGTACCTACCTTCCCACATTATAAATAGTAGCCCTGATATTTTACTGAGCTCCCGAAAGCCGATATGCAGGACTGTATTATAAGCATTCTGCACACACGACCTACTAGTGTAATATTATAGATCAGTGTTTCCCAAACTTATGACTTTAGTGTATTCTTTCTAAATTTTTCCTAACGCTGTGTACCACTAAAAAAAAATTAATGTACTTTCTACTTAAAAAATTGCACAAAAGTTAAAAATCACACCTGGCTGTTGACACCACTAATTATTAACTGTTAACTCTGCAAAAAAATATAGAGAAATACGTAATCATAAATTTTCATGGCTAACTTTGTTTATAAATAAAATTTGTTGAAATTTTCGGTTGTTGCAAGATATTTTGCATAAGAGCGCGTACCCCCGCTAAGCTGCTCCTGTACCCCTGAGGGTACGCGTACCACACTTTGGGAGACACTGCTATAGATGAATAAAAAAATTTGAAAGGTAATATTTCTTTGGAACAAATGTTTTTTTTAATAACATTTGGACAACACATTCTAAAAAATCTTAAATTCAAAGTGAGTTATGAAATAATTAATTTCTTCAAAAATGGAAAGTTTAGATTGTTTTTTTAGAATTTCAAAATTTTTAGACTTAAGTGTGTACATATACTATAAATCTAGTATACTATAAATCTAGTGTGTACTTATACCAGTTTGCCCTTTTGTCTTCATCAGCTCGTCATTGGTAATTAATTGAAAGAGATTTTTAAAAAAAAACCTATTTTATTCTTTAATTATTTTAAAATAATAATTCTATTTAAGTATTTCTTTTTATCAAATAAATTTTTTCACTTAATTTTGTTACTTTCTCTTTATCTAGATATGTGGACTCGCGCTGATTATAGTTGGTGCTGTTGTGATTAAAAAGGATTTTACGGAATTTATGGATAGCAAATATGTAACAGCGCCTACCATTCTTATTGTTGTAGGATGCATTATCTTTGTGGTAGCATTCTTTGGATGCTGCGGTGCGGTGAAAGAAAATCATTGTATGGTGATGACTGTAAGTGTATTTGAGTTTTCTTTGTACTCATTTAAACTTTCTTCTTTTTCTTTTGAATATATATTTTAATCTTTATAAACTTATTAGTAAATTTTCAATATTTTATAGTATTTAGTTTCTTCTGTGCTAGTCTGATTTAAGGTTAAGAAAGTAACAAAAATATAAATTTTCAATTCGGCTTAGTATCATTAATTCGAATTCCAATTAAAAATTTTGAAATTAATTTTTGTTAGGTTAATAAATATGTACATTATCTTTTTGGCAAACATTATTTATTTTTAAAATAGTTGTTATATTGCTTATGGTTTAGGTTTGTAAAATAAAAAGAAAAGCTTATCTAATTGTTTAGTTAATTCTTCAAATCAGTTTACTTTTAATCTGAATTCATTGAAAGTGAAATTGCACAAATTGATTCCTTTATTTCAAAATCTATATACAATCAATTAATATAAAATGTTGATTTCTTTTTTGAGCAGAAAGCAACCTAAGCAATTTCACAGAAAGTGAGAGAGCCTGAATTTGATTTTTTTTCCTACGAAGAATTACAAATAAAACTGAATTGGTAGAATTCTTCATGTTTCTCTCTCTTTTGGTAAATGGTCTAGAAAAAAACTTTTATACCAAAAATTGCTGAATTTCAATGCTGATTTCCAATATATATAGAAATATTTTTTGGCTTGCTGAAGTATTATTTTTTTTTTTTTAATAGTGTCTTTTTTTGGTTAATATTAAAAAGAAAATGATAAAGGTCGATTAAATTCTTAAAAAAATTAGTAATATTTTTGTGCTGCTTATCTGTTTTTATACAGTGGTACAGTAGCTTCTAATGTGAAACTAATTCATATAATATATCTGGAATCACTCTAAATTTAATTTTGTAACAAGAGTAAGCACAAATGTTTTTGTTTGGTTAATTTTAGTCCTGTTAACTAATTGCAATAACTACAAAAACATTTTAATAAAATAGCTAAACTCAAAACTTTATAGAATTTCTTTATGCTGATTACAAGCTTAAAAGTACTGAACTTGTTTAATTTGTAAGTACAGAGCACAAGAACAAGACATTCTAAACAACTTTTGATCTAGTTATTATATCTTCACACTTAATCCAAAACTTAAAGGGATCACTCCAAATATGCTAATTACTCTGTGCAGACACTATTTTAAGTTAAGAAATCAAACACTAAAACTTATTTTCTCTATGAATTAACATTTTTTCTGTTGATGAATATGGTTTTCTGTTCCTGAAAATATCAATGAATAATGAGATGTAAGTGCATTCTGACGAATAAGGCCTCAATAGTTTAGTTAAAAAATAAGTCTAAAATTGGGACCCCTTACCACGAACGGTATTCCCTGCAATTGGTAGTAGCTAGTTTTACTTTTTGCATTATTTCCCTATCTCCAGACTCTAAGCGGATCGAAAAATTTTTGCTCACAATTGTTAAATTCATTTATCCAAAGCAAAAAATAATTTTGGATAATTATTATTTATATAATTAAATTATCCAATTAATATTTTTTTCTTCTTCAAAAAAGCTGAATTTTTTAATTGTGTATTACAAATATATTAATTCTTTACATTTTAAAGAATGTAATTTTATTTGAAGAATTCAAGATTTGAATGAAATTGGTAGACTATTAGTTAGTTCTTGAGAAAACAAATTTTAAACATGAGACTTTTTTAAAATTTGATAGCTACATAAATGTAATGATTCCTACAGGCAAACCGGAAATGGCCAAAAAATTGAGACTGTAATTAAATAAAAATGTAAAAAAGTTTTCAATTTGTTAATTTTAGAAATTACTTTTCCTTTAAGGAAATTCAATACATATACTAATATAAACTTATTTAGACTCATAATGGACTTTGAAAATTTCTTATCAAATCTTCTAAAGGGAATGAATGTAACAAGAGTAAAAAAAAAAAATTGGAACAAGAAATACCAGGAATTCCTCATAATATTTTTGTGTTTAAAATTGAAATAGTTGTAATTTATAAGTTGACCTTTCTTTCTTGAAGTTATTTAAAATTAGATTTTATGATATAGTCAAGCTAGGATATGAACATCAATGCAAATATGTAGTTGCCTTGTGTTTTTTTTTTCAGGTTGTAAGAGTTATTATGTTTTAAATTCATTCTATTAAATTTAAATTAAGTTTTCATGCATAAATATGAAAAGTAGATATTCTTTGTTATTCAGTGAAAAAAATTTAAAAAAGCAAAATAAGCTAAAAAAGCAAATCTATATGTAGCATCATAATACATGACACGTAACCATGGACTTGCCCACTTAGCTTTAAACGTAATGTAATTTTTTAAGTAAATTATTTAAGGTAAAAGTGCTGAAAGCTGTTGTTTGAAAACTTAAAATTTGTTAGTTTTGCTATTTATTCTATGCCAAATGAGATTTTTTTGCCTGTGCTACATTTTTAAGTAGTGTTAAATTGTCAATTAATGAAATTTATTAATTTAAAAATTACTTTTCCTCCTTTTTAAGGTTTTATCGAAATCTTTTTAATATCTTGTGTGTGTTTTAAAATAGCAAAAAAACATTGGAAACATTTCCTTTGAACAGAGTTCTTCCTGATAATAAAAAGGGCAGGGTGCTTCCTCACAGAAAAAGTCACTTAACACCGTAAAAATTTATCAAATTGTGTAATATTATGTAATAACTGAATTTGATCCTCAACAGTTTTTATATTACCCTCTTAATTTATTTTATGTATGTATTTCAAAAAGTAATTCTCAGAAGAGAAAAATTTGAAGTTAAAAAAAAATAAAGCATTATAAAAAAAAAAAAAAAAACAATGTATGTATAAATTTTTTCCAAAAAAAAGTAAACCCCCCAAAAAAATTTTTGATACACAACTTAAAAGTTTTTTCTACAATTTAAACTGAAAATTATGATAAAATGAACAGCTAAAGGTGCATTTTTAAATAAAGATTTATATTAATTAATATAAAATTTAAAATCACTTAAATTCATAAATCTAACCCATCCTAAAAAAAAAATTCATAAAATTTAACCAGTTAAGAATAATCCTAACAAAGATAATTTTACCAGTGTGTAATTATTATTCAAACAGTGAGTTAATTTTTTTTTGAAAATGTTATATGAAAAAAAAGGCAGCATTTTTAAGGGAGCCTATAACAGTTTATTTTTCAATAACAGTTTTACAGGTTAGCTTATTAAATATTGTAGTTAAGAAACCTAATCCTGTTGCATTACAAGCTGTGGGATTAATTCTAACGTTAAGTTTTAATTTTTTTTTTATTGTATTGTTCATTAGAAGATATGTGCTAAATCTAATTCTACTATTTCTAGTTTGGACTGCTTGTATTTGTCATTTTCGTTGTTGAGCTCGCTGGTGGAATTTCTGCTTACATGTATAAGGGAGAGGTAAGATAAAAATTAACTTGTGTGTTTGTGTAGTATATATACATTTTTATTGCATTGCATTGCAATGTGAATTATATTTTACTGAGACATTTCATTTGTTAAAATATTTTATTGACTTCTAATGTGATATGTTTGAAGGCAATCATCACATGAGAGAAGTTTTAAATTTTCTTTTAACTAAAACTGTTTGTGGTGTTTCTACATGTTTACAATTCTTTTTATAAGTTGTATTCTTGTTCTTTTAACCTCTTTTGTATGAGATAAATACTCTGAATGAAATTTAACTTTTTATTTAGAGTATATTGTATTTTGCATAATCTTATATTTCCTTAAATTCAGCATGTTGTGTAAATTTAAAAAGCTTTTGTGCTTAAAAAATAAACTTTGTGCTTAACAGAAAGAGGTCTTATATCCAGACATTCATTCACCTTTTTCAAAAAAAGTTTTTTCTACTTTCAACTGTATTAAAATATTTAGTTGTAAATTTTCATTAGACAGTAACAGTGTAATTGAGTTAAACTGAAATAAATTAATCTAAAGGTTGAAGCATATAGATTTAATGTTGCATCGAAGAAAAAGCTGTTTTTTTTCCTCTTCCTAATTCTTAATTTTACATCTTGTGATAAATTTTTGTAATATTTCATATAACTTTTTTTTTTTCAAAACTTGTTATGCTTATTTTTTTAAACGTTTTTTAAAACTGCAATTATTGAAATCTGTCAGAATAATTAGGCAATAGATAGAGCTTGGCTTTTCACTTGAGTTTTCTATTTTTAAACTTATATAGGTTCTGTGTTTCAATAAAAATTATTTCTTTTGTGGTGATAAAGGCAATAATCTTATGAATTGCTTGGGTGTGCATTTTAGGTAGATAACATCTAGATTGCCATGTATGCCAAAAAAAGTGCTGCTTTGTGGGGAGAAAACAAACCAAAAACATTAAGTATTTATCTGGAAAATACTGAGGAACAATTTAATTTACTCATATGGCATGTCACTTTTAGTGTCCTTAAATCTTCAATTTGATGCATTTAATTCCTAATTATCTCGATATTTCTTTTGATTATTTTTTGAGAAGCTTGGTTTTGTGACATAAGTAATCTTGTTAAAGTTTAGAACAGTAATACCAGTGCCTATCCTGCCCCCATTAAGATAAACTCTACCTGTAGTTCCTTCTTAATCATTTAATTACAAAAATATTTCTGTATGAAAATTGAGTTGTAATTTTACACCAAGCTGCTAACCATTTATGTATTAGATTATAAAAATTTTAGAAAGAATCAGTTCATTTTTTTTGTTGTACAATGGTTTGTTTGTAATTTTGTGATTCGTTTAAACTTTTTTTTGAAAATTTGTTTAGAACTCTAAATATTTCCAATGATATAATTGCATAAAAAATCAATATTTTATTTAATTTGATAATTTTTTTTTGAAATGTAGTATGTGATTCTTGTATAAATGTAATTTTTTTTGTCAAGTTTTAAATACATTAAATGTAAACATTTAAAAGTTTATTCTTAAAGTGTTATTATTTTAAAATTTATTAAAATATTTTAACCTATAAGGTTTAAATTCATGGTCTTCTAAGTTACGTTTCTTGTCCAGATTGCCTCATATGAATCGAAATGCGTATCTATCTAGTTTGGGTTATGTTAAATTATTCCTTTTTTATTTTCTAAATGAGAGTTCTTTTTAAGTGGTTCAATTTTCATTTTTATCTTACTTAGTTGGATAAAATCTATAATTGAATTAAATACGAGTAAAAATCCAAAATGTTTATTTTTTAAGCCAGCAATTTATTTTAGTGACATGTGATTGGATTGTATACAGTAGCACATGTAATATGTTATTGGATACTCTATTTTAAAGACACTAGTCAGACTCAACAGAAATATTGAAAATAGCTGAACACCAATATATCCGGAACATGAAAATTAAAATTTAAATTTGTAACAATTTAAGTATGTCTTAAGTACTAAATTTTCAGACATACCCATTTCTCTTTTGTTTTTCATGTCCTTGGAAGAAAAACTTCTTTGGACAACCGGTCAGTATTTAAGGGTAATAGTATTAGATAAATACTGGGATTTTTTAATCATTAATATAAGAAATAAAAGGTGTCAGAGCTGAAAAGACCTTAAAAGTGGAAAATTGTCATTCACGGGTGATGTTAAGTCAGATTTCTGTAATTGTTATTTTAAACTTTCAGACTATTTATTAATGTATGCATGTGCTTTGTAGGTCAAAGATTTCCTGAAACAAAACATGAATGACAGCTTGGTGCAGCAGAAGAAAGATGCACTTCAACTTTGGGATGAAATGCAATCCAAAGTATTATTTTTGCTGTTCTATTTTTATTTTTTAGTTATTTATTTATTATTTTGGTCAAGTGTTATGAAAAAATTTTACTTTTATGTCCTGAAAATGTATATCGAAAAATATTTCAACTAATTTTGAATTTTAACTGTTAAATTTTTTTTATTTTTTATAACTTTTGATTTTAACTGATATTTGAATTCAAATACCTTTTAATTTTTGTGATTGTTTCTAAAACACGTAAAATATGAAAAAACTTTGCTCAACATGGTAGACAAATAAAGACCATGGGGAAAAAACTGTTTTTGTCAGGGATGAGATTCTTCCGCGGATTCGCGGATTTCCGCTTTTTTTCAGATTTTTCCATTTTTCCCGCTAATTTCCGCTGAAAATTTTTTTTTTGCCCGAGTTAAAATGTTTTAAGAGGAATTTAATTTTCCGCGGAGGGAAATTGTTGAAGTCCCTTTTCCTCCCTCTGAAGTTTCTCTAAAAATCATTTCCTTGGGATAAAACTGGTTGACCTTTATACAGGGATGAGATTTTTTTTGTCTCTCGAATTTCAGCCTTTTTATCAAAAACTCCGATTCTCTAAAAGTTTCGTTTTTTTAAATAAATATCCCGTTTTTTTTTAAAATTCAGTCATTGAAGTAAAATAATTATATTTATTTACGATTTTCAAAGATAAACAGAAAATTCAATCTACGCCCTAGCTGCTAACC